GCTGCAGCCTCTGACCGTCCTCCCCCCCCACACACACCTGCCGCTGCAGCCTCTGACCGTCCTCCACACACACACTTGACATGCCTGGAAGCCACAGCTTTATTTTCTACCTCTGTATATTTCTTTGACTTTTTTTTTTTAGATCCCGTATACAAGTGATGTGATGCAATACAGGGAGAGAGGGTCTCTGGGTTACGGTAGTTAGAACAAGGTTTTCAGGTTTTTAATGCTTCAAGACATGGTAGAGTGAAGTGTGTGTGCGTGCGTGCGTGCGTGCGTGCGTGCGTGCGTGTGTGTGTGTGTGTGTGTGTGTGTGTGTGTAGTATATGTGTATTTGTTTTATATATGTAGTATGTGGGGGTATCTCTGTGTTAGTAGTACAGCATATAATAGAAGATAGGAAGAGGAATACACTAGTTTCTTTATTCATCTGGCCACTGGTGGACATTTAGGCTGTGTCCGTATCTCGGCTCCTGTGGATAAAGCTGTCACAAACCCGGGAGCACAGATGAGGTGACTTCATCTCCTTTGGGTATTCGCCCAGAAAAGTCTTGTGGGGTCATATGGTAATTATATTTTGAATTTCTTTAGGAACTTCTGTCCTGTTTTCTGTGACTAACACATCTACATTCTCACAGACTATGTCCAACATGTGTTATTTTCTGACTTTTGGATAGTAGCCAACCTAATGGATGTGAGGTAGATGAGTCCTAAACAAGATCTTTTTAATTCATAGCTCAGCTTCCAAAGCACTGAAAGAGTGAGGCTACATTTGTCTTCACAGAGAATAACCTAGATAGTAAGTCTGAGGAGAGGACACCGTGTCCATAGCTTCCTGAGTCTCGGCACACTGCCTGCTAGGGCTGCCATTCATTTGTAAAGCTTCAAACAACCTCAGAAAAACTGACATTAAAAAGAATCATAACGTAAGTGTTCAATGTCTGTAGCTTTTCCACACTGGGATCTAGACCTGAGCAAGCTCCCGTCTCTCCGAGCATCTGGCAAATGCCTCAGGTGAGTGCTCTGAACTCTGAGTTCTGTGGAGATCTTTAGGTGGGAGGCTGATGGGAAGAGAGAGAAAGACAGAAAAACTACTGGGCCCTAGGATACTCTGGCCAGGGCTCTATTTTTGTCTTTGATATGAGTTCAGGATTAACATTAGGATGTTATTAAATAATAGATGTTATTGGTTACAGAGAATTTGAAAGCAAATGCTTAAAAAAATGCTAAAGGCATTCTCAGTTCTAAAGGGTAAAGTTTTCTGTAGTTCTGTGTTTAAGTTCTCATGGGCAAACACGCTCAGGGAACACACACACACACACACACACACACACACACACACACACACAAATGCAAAAAATAAGACGGGTTAATGGTCCATGCACCACGTTCAAAAACACAATTCTAGCTCCCGTCTGAGTACCCCACTGTTCTTCCAAGGCGGCTCCAGATCCTGCAGGACGTTAGAGGAAGTACTGCACACTGCGCTCTATAGTTCCCACTGAAAATCCAAGGCAGCAAGAACCCAGGGAAAGCTGGGCGCTCAGCTCCTTCCCGTACATTCAAGACGAGAGACCTAAGGCTGGAAAGGGGCCTGAGCTGCATAACCAACTGATGTCAGACTGGTGTTCCCCCACCTCACTGCACACCTGAGCATGAAGAAACTACAGATAGCATGACTGAGCACCCTGTACCAGTGCAAGTCTGCTGTGTACAAATAGAAAGCTGTGGTCTACACATAGAAAGCTGTGGTCTACACATACTGCAGAATGTTTTTAAATATATACCACAAGATTTTGTGTGTGTGTGTGTGTGTGTGTGTGTGTGTGTGTGTGTGTGTACATATGCCGTTTGCCAAGGGGATAAGGGGCAGTGAAAATTCTTAGCAAGTGGGTACTTTAAAGCTTTCAAAGGTTTATCTGAAGAAGACTTTGAATAGAGGCAACATTTTATGAGTTCTCTTAATCCCCACAAAGTGTGGCCTGCTTAGTAAACAGAAGGCTTTTTGATGACTGCAGTGAGTTATAGACGGGTCTGTGACTGTCTAGGAGCTGTATTTTCTGGCACTAAAGCTGTTTGTGATGTCAGGAGGTATAACTTATGCTACACTACAGATTCACCTTCTGCAAGTTGGTACCCAGCCATTGTTTTCTCCCTCGTAGGCGCCACCACTCTGCTATACTAATTACGTTCACCTCCACCACCAGAGAGATGCCTTTAGCCTGTTTGAGAATTTCAGTTTCCTAGTAAGTATGCCAGACTCAAAGTCAGGCCTGCTGCTTCCCACAGGATGTGCGCACTGCCTAGCAATTACAGTGGTCAGCGGAGGCCCGCATCTGGGCAAATCTGAGGAAACCAGGCTGTGGTGTGAAAAACTAGAAGGAAAAAGCTCATTGTCGTGCGGAAGAGACTGGGAGCATGGGAAAGCCACAGAGTGGAGAGGTTTCTGGGATGGCAGAAGAAGCCCACGCTGCTTCATGCTCTCCCAGCTCTACCCTGACGCTAGCTCTGCCTGTCCGTCTCCGTGGCCTCTGGGCAATTCCATTTCAAGGCAGCTTCAGACGGGTTGGAATTCCAAGAATCTGTCCAGCAATTTGGATCTTACTGTCTGTGGGTGGAATGAGCAAAATGGAACATTTCAGGCTAAAATTTCAAACTCTAGGCTGTAAACTCAAGAGCTGCAGCTTCCTGAGGTCTCTTTTAGGCCTCACACAGGGTCTCTCAAATATATCCACTCTGATGCACAAGTCCAAGTGGAGAAGTTTATGTCATGCTCTCTTATTCATTCCTCTCTTGATAATTAAACTCCTTTTTAGGATATGGGAGGTTGAATTGTTACTTGACCACTGTAGATTTATGTGACATTCCAATGCAAGTCTAGCATGGCCAACAAAACCTGCCAAAGAACACAGGATGAGCAGACAGATGTAAACCGAATTGCTATAGCCTCCACTTTGTATATTAAAGGAAGTGAAACAGGAATTGAGAAGAGTCAAGACCTGCATGGGGATTGGTTCTCCAAAGGCTATCCCTGTAGAAAGAGTGGATTGTGGAACCAAAATTCAGGCAGGAATCATTCACATTTAGGAAAGGTTCTCAAAGCTAGTAATTCAGGGCACTATGTATTTTTGAGTAGAAAACTTTAAAGGAAAATAACAATATACTCTTATGAAAAAAGAAACTACTTGTGTCTTTCCATAGTTCTACCTTTTGGATCACTAAGTCTCTATGCCATATAAAAGGGTGGGAGAAATAGCTGTGGTGGATATACCATGCTGAAATTATGAAGACTTTCAAGACAAGAAGCTTGGAAGGCCTCTCTCCAGGGAGAGCAGACAAAGGCCTAGACTGAAAGGAAATGCGGAGACTCCTTGCTGGGGCTTGAGAAGAGATGGGATGCTGGAAGGAGGAGCCAACACAGAACATGGAACTCTGGTACTGAAGGACGATGTATAGTGGATGCCCTATAAGGCAACAGGACCCCAGATCTATATGTAAAGTAAGAATGATGACCATACTGAGCCTGCATCCAACCCTCCATCCTCCACTGATTTCCAAAGCACAGCACGGAGAGCTGTCCTTCCTATACCAAGGATGTTGAAGATGTATCTCAGAGAGTCTCTTTTTTTGAGAAAGGACTCCAAGGGGTTTGAGACATGCATGAAAATGAAATAACTGCACTGGCCATGTGCTCCCAGGTCTGGGTCTGCAATCACGCATCTCAGTATTGTGTTGGAAGGTAGAACACAGATCTGTTTATTGTGTTAGGTGTACTTTCTCTCTAGGAACTTTAAATATGTGACCTAAGTCTGTGCTGTCTATGAAACACACTTCAAAAGATAACGGGCAGGTGGCAAGCAAAAGAATGGAGTAAGACATGGAAATGTCAATGAAAGGAAACTGATGTCTATGTGGATATCAGATAAAGTTCATTTTAGAACAAAGGAAAGTATTAGGGATAAAGATTTTACATAATGATAAAAGTACCAACCCATCAGGGAGAAAAAATTGTAAGCCTCTATTCACAAAACAACAAAGCCACAAAATACATGAGACAGAACCCAGGAGCACAGGAAGCAGAAGCAGCGTAGGGTCTCAGATGGAGACCTGTTCTCTTCGTGGCTGAATAGCAAGGAAGTAAAACAACCTCAGTATTTTCAAAGGGTAGGATCCAGCTGACAGCTACAAAAGGCAGCCCAGTCGAAGCAGAATATACAGTCTCTTGCAAGTCTCCATGTTATGACATCAAGATAAGCCACGTATTAGAAATAAAGCAAAATTAACTGAAATAGTTTAAAACATCAAAAGTAGGAGCAGAGGCTCAAACAGAAATGTCAAGTAACACACACACACACACACACACACACACACACACACACCTGAGTTAAATGAAAATTCATTGTGACAGAATTTATGAGACATAGTTGAAGTAGTTATGAGTAACTTTGTAGCTCCAAACACATTCTTTAGAAAAGAGAGCGCTCAAATAAGTACTTTAAGCTCCCATTACAAAAAATCCTACCACTAAACAAGTTCTGGTAAGAGTGAAACAGGACATTACTATGGCCCCTAAGACATCCAGAGGATAGCAAAAGACTAATCCAAGACATTTCTTACCAATTCAACAACTAGACAAAATGGACTTCCTTTCAGGGAGCATAGACCATGTCTACCATATGTGGTATCATCATCTGAAAAAAGCCACAGGAACTATAGAGAAACTGAATACATAATCTATAAATCCCAAGAAATAACTCTCAGACCTACCTTATATCACTGAAAAATCTTACTAAACACATAAACTAGAATTACCCACAATTCTACAGTCTTTCTCTAGAAATAGACAGAAAGACACTCTAATTCATTCTCTGAAGCTACTATTAACGTGACTTTAAAAGTAAGGGGAGGGGTGGATGTGAAGGCTGAGGCAAGATGATAGAGACTTTGAGGCTAGCCTGGGTAATGAAAGGAGGCTATGCCTCAAAATGGGGGAGAGCTACACAGGGAGGTAGACAGGTGGATTCTAGGGGCTCGTTGGCCAGCCATCCCAGCTGACAAGGTGAGCTCCAGGTTTGTGAGACACCTGGTCTCAAAAAGAAATGTAGAAAGGATCCTGAGGCCCTCCACTAGCTGAAGTTGAATTGGCAGCTGCAGGCTTCTGTGGAGGAACAGCCCCTGCTCTTGTGGAGTGGCCGTGGGCAGGTTGCCACGCCTCAGAGCATAACCTGTAAGCCATGTTCATATGGGCAGCCTTCGTTTGGCTCAGGGGGCTCAGATCCTAAAAAGGATTTGAAGTGGAAGATGGAAGAGAGATATATTGGGACAGGGACTTCCACAAGGAGTCAGAGGCAAGGTTAGAATACATTGTACAAATCTATGAAATTCTCAAAGAATAAGAATGAAAAATTAGAATGTGGTGCAGAACAGAGAAAGACATCATTGTCAACCTCTGGTCTCCACACATACATGTGCATGTACACTATACACACAAACACACACGTACATGCACACACACAGGTACATGTGCACACACAGGTACATGTGCATGTACACTATACACACACACAGGTACATGTACACATACACATACACATGTGCACATACACCACAAGAAACAGTATTTGACAAAATTCAATATCACAGGAACTCTGAGAATGTGATTAGGGAGACTCTCCCTAAAGCTGACAATCACAATACTGAGCTCTAATTCTGTAACTCTTCAGTTAGCATGATATTGATGTTGAAAGCATCAATGTTTCTGGAAAAGAGGAGAAACAAGGCAGAAGTTGTAGCCCGTGAAACCATGTGAGAAGAGGAAATGTACAGCGTATAAGTAAATAAAATGATTCCTGTTTGATTTTACTAGGTTTAGTAAAATCCTTAAGGAGTTTACAAAAGAGACCCCTTTGTACCTAATAAATGTGTTCAGCAAAGTGACAAGATAAAAGATAAGCACTCAACAATTAATTGTATTAATCAGTATAATCATTAATTATATATTATACATATTAATC